GTGGCACGGGTCGTGTTCTCGTTGAATTAAAACGACGTCGTTTACACGGGGCAGACTGGGAAATCAAAGACGACAGCGCGGCGATACGTCACGCGGTCGCAGACATTTTCCAGACATTTTCCAGACATTTTCCAGACATTTTCCAGACGTTTTCCACACGTTTCCATTCGGAATTTCGCAGAGAATCCAGGTGGAAATAATTCCGTTTCAGAAATAGGATTCGTAATTCGCTTACCTCGAGATCCCGGCGCAGATACGCCGGCAGAGATGCATAAAACGAAGGACGCGAGCACGCGATTCGCGTTCGTGGATCGAGGCACGTACGTTTCCTAGCGACCATTTTCCGTTTGGCAATTACGCTGCTCGTTAATTATTACTCATCGAAACACCCGCAATTTTGTCGATTACGTAACGCTGCGCCGTAACTCGTCTCGTTACCAAGAATCTACCGCCTACGCTTCCTACACGTTCCTGTACGTCATTGTTCGCGGTTCTTTGAATCGAGATCGAACAACCGAGGAGAAGAAACCGAAGCCTCTTTCTCTCCCTCTCCGTCTCCTTCTCTCTCCGTGCACTCTCTTGATCCGACACGTTTCCAGCACGTTATTAACGCGCCACGTTTGTCCCGTCTCTGTCGATCCAACGCGGGATGCGCAACCGCGAGAAAAAACACGCGATCCCAGGCATTTTCTTCTGAATCTTTACGAATCAATTTACATGGTTAAGTAATTGCCGCATCGATGGAGTCGGCTTGCCACCGGTTTCATCGCGGGGCTCTCTCGCGAGCGCGCGGCCCGGTGTCGTTGCGATTAATTTGCGCGTTAGTTCTATCGATAGTCGCGTACACGACGGACGGGAGACGTACAAAAGTATCGGAGAGTCGAATAGTGGAATAAAGAAACGAGGTACTGGTGTATTATACGGGCGCAGCGGAGCGTGTCTTCGTCGCGTTGTCGTATTTAAACATCGCCGGAAGCGAAAGGGGGCACGTTGCGTTGCACGAATCCAGGCGATCGAGCGATTTTATAACCGCGCGAAACGTTTTTCCTTCCCCCGACATCCGGTCGTCGAACCAACTCGTATCCGCGTGTTACGTCGCTGGCGAAAATCTCGAGTAATCGCGGTAAACGAGATCCGACGTCGACGATGCTTTATTATTTACCTTAAATAAATACGCTCTCTATCGCGGCGATAAACGCTCCTCGAGCAGCGGCGAACACCGTGGATATAATACCGCCTGGAACGAGCCCCTGCGAGCACTCGCAATGGCGCACGTCTCGTTATCGCCGTGTCCATTTAAATACTCGTGACTAATCGAACTAGAGCGCCGGGAAAAAGTTCTTCGTTTCGTTTATACCGTTCGATACCGCGCGCGGTCGCGGAGATAAGATTTGTATGCAAAAAAGATGGCGACAAGCTTCTCTTTGTAATCGACTCTCGGCGTGTGCGTGTGCACGAGCTGACGCGTGACGAAGACGATCTATCGCGCACAAGCCTGCGCACGGTGTCGCGCGATCCACGGACATTAAGGGTACCGCTTTTATTCCACTTTCCGATCACGATTCGGCTGGTTCTTCAGGGCGTGTCGCTCGGTCGTTTAGGTCGCGCGTAACGCCATGTTCTCCGTGTCTTTCCTCCCATCTGGCTAACCGACTTTTTGTCCAGGCTTTTATTTGAACAGCCACGAGACTCGGCCGCGCATAGTTGAAAGTTATCGAGCAAGGTTCGCGCAACGGAGATATTTAATAACGCGCGTGGAGCGCGCGTGAAAAGCGCGCCGCGCCTCTTTCGACCTGATTTAAAACATACCACCGGCGCGCGCCAAAAGGAAACGCCATTCTTGCCGCAACATCGACGCGTCGAATATCTAAGGATTTCTGAGCAACTCGCGATGCACACCTTGCAACGGCTCGCCAAGCGTTTCCTCTTTCCGTCTTTCCGTCTTTCCCGTCGATTATACCGAGCTGCTAGAGAAATCCACCGAATTCGAAACGACGCGTTATCCCTTTGCGCGATGGCGCGTGGAGGAAACCATTTTCTTTCGGTTGACCGTTAACGTCGTTCCGCTGCTGATCGTACCGCCGTTCCGCTTCGCGTATCCTTACTCGAAGAGAACCTCGACGAAAGGAAAACGTCTCTCGTGTTTCCGTGACGGAATAGAACAGCGAGGAATTTCGGGAAACTGTAAAAATAACCACGGATAGATACACGCGTCGATTGAAATTTAATCCTTCTCCCTCGTGTCTGTGCGAGACGAGAAAGGGTCTATCGCGAATTGGCTTTCCGATGCGAAATCGATCGGCTTTTCTATACGTAGAACGCAGGGCCGAAGGGTTGGTACGTCGTTGGTACTGTGACCTTGAACAGGACATTGGAGGCAGGGCGCATGCGCGGCCGAATTCGATCATCCCACGTCCGGAGATCCTTGTATCGCGTCATCTCTCTCCTGCTCAGCGTAACCCCTCTTTTACCTTGGAAAGTCGCTTTTCACTTTCACGTCCCTTTCTTCCCTTTCAAGTACACGCGCGGCCCTTTCATGTGACTGTCGAGTAGCGGGAGGCCCTTGGTGCGCGCGAGAGCACGTGCGTACGCACTTGAGCGTATCGCATGCAGCGCTTTCACGATAAGAGCGAGAGTAAAGGCTGATCGTAAAGAATGAAATCTGATTCTGGCCCCGTCAGCATCGACGTTTACTACGCGAAAAAGGGGGAGGTCGGGATTTTCGATTCCTTTTCCTTTTCTCTCTCTGGCCCTCGCGATTGAGGGAGAAGGAGGCTCCGAGTCGCGTCCCCCTCTCTCTCCGCCGTCCACCATTTTTGCCCATTGAATTTCTCAGCGTTCCAAGAGGTCTACCCTCGGCACCGTTTCGTTTTATTACCTATTTATTTTTATGTCTTCGAAGCAATGGAATTTTTGCCTATCCCGTATCTTCGAGTCATCAAACGGAGGATCTACGTTCGACGCGAACGATCATCGGGGATCGAATAAGTTTCCCAAATGAGACACGTAGCTTACAACAGCGCGATATCGGTCCAGCTCGATTCAGTCTCGAACGATAGCGAACGATGTCTCTTTTTCGAGACTTTTGTATATATCGGCTACTCAACCGGGATCTTTATTCCACGCCGAGCTTAGAATTAGTTCGATAGACTTTATCGCAGCTGGTCCGAGATAAGGATATGCCCGAGTTGACAGACCGATTGCATTCGATGGTAATTTTGAATTAATCGTTCAGATGCTACCAACGTATTCCGCGTTCAGCCGATTCATCGTAGGAATATCGATGAATGCGTAACGTGTATATATATCTATATATATATCTATATATGTATATACGATACGTTGGGGAGAGAAAGAAACGAACAAAGATGATACGTAAATTTCGGATAATCTCGTTTTTACTCGATAAACGCTATCAATTGTGATCAGCGATCGGACGACGATAGAATTTCGATAATCGTGCAGCTCGTCGACGTTTCTCGATTAAAGGTGAAACTGTAATAGCTTTTACCGAAAATCTCGGGGAAAGAAAGAAGAAAAGAGAAAAAGAAAAGTCTGTTGGCTGAAAGAGACGTCCGTTTCTACTGGACGTGAAATAAGACAAGACCCTGCGAGCGTGAGAAGCGTGTAAGCCGAGCGCAGAGAATGGCCGAGGAATTTCCACGAAGCCGCTTCGATCGCTCGGCAAGCCCGGGGTTCGGTAGTCGCAAGGTCCGGAGGTGGCTCGCATAAAGGCCACGGAAAGAGCCGAAACAAGGCGGAAGGGACCGAAGTGTAACGCCGACGGTCGAGCACGAGCAACCCTCGGCAGGCTGCGACTGCTATGGCTATTGACCGAACTTGGCGGACCGGCCGGTCAGCTGTGCGCCGAGCCGCCGGAGATATTTTCTCTGGCAGGAAATCGTCCGCGTAGATGTATGATTCGCGGCCGGTGGCAACGGCGGAGAAAAGTCTGTCGGAGAACGGAGTGTGTTGAACGGGACCCGTGGAAAAGTTCTACGCTTCGGCAACGATCGGCGAAGGTGGAAAGGTAGAAGAAACCCGGAGAGACAATATCGGACAGCTAGACAGAGAGTCCGTGCCAAGTATCCGTAGTACGTGACCGACGGTGATCGTACGAGAAATTCGTGGTGCTGCTTATAACACGGTGTTACACTTCTTTCGGGAATCAAAGACGCTGAGATCTCTCGCGACTCGGGGACCCCGCGATCGAGTGAAAGCCGAAAACTCGGAAACGTTCTTCCTTTGCTTGTGAATAATCGAATAAACTTGTCCGGCGGAGTAGAATGACATTGGTGAGAGAGAAGAGAGCAAACGAAAAGAAGAGGAGAAAATAGAGAAAGAGAAAAGGGGAAAGAAGTGGAAGACTTGGCCCACGGTTGGTAGCGAACACGTAGAGAGACCGGCTGTGCACGACCAAGAGACGAGAGCGAAGGATAGAAGCGAAAGAGAGAGAGCAAGAGAACAAAATGTGAGGGAAAGAAACAATAGTGGCGAGGGAAGAAAAAGAGAGAGATTGTCGCGAGAAGGAACGAACAGCGGTCGAGAGGGAGGAGGGAGAGGGAGAGAGAGAGTGAGCGAGCAAGGGGGAGAGGGAGAGAGGAAGAGAGCGAGAGAGAGAGAGAGTGAAAGAGACAGCTGTATAGATAGGTGTCGTACACATACGCGCGGAAAGTGACGTGTGTGTCCGTCGTGTGTGCAGGTGTGCGCGTGGTGCAGGCCTGCCGGTGCAAAAAGTGCAGTGCCCAGTGGACTTTTCCATCTCGTGCGTGCGCTGCTTCTGCGAGTAGGCACGTATATGCCGGTGTTCCGGTGTGGACTGATCGGAGGACGAATAGGACGGTAAGAGAGTCGGATAGCACGGTTTTCCTATGCCGGATGCTCGATTTACGAAAGAAAACTCCGTTCGTCGCGTACCGAAGCTTCTTGGAGCAGTGTCAAAATTCCTGTGTCAGTTGGGAAAAGTATCGGAAAATTTGCGAAGGAAAATTAAACGCGATATCGATTCGAGAAACCTATTCCGATCGCTCGTCACGGAACAGTCTACCAAGGAGAAAAGCATATATGCGCGACGAGAAAAGAAACGAGGTAATAAGATCGTCCATGACGAACTGCTTTACCGACGGATTCGTTGACTCGCTGTTGGTAAGGTGCCTCCGCAGTGATCTATCGACGAGGAAGAACTCGAGGAGGTAGACCGAGGAGACGCAGCAGTCGCGGATTACTGGTGGTCGTGATAAGGGCAAGCGCGGATGTGTTCCGTTTCGTGATCGATGATCTTTGCGCGGATCGTTTGAATCGACGTCTACCTTAGCTCGTTACGCGAGGAACCGAGGACACGGAAACGTTCTCGAGCAGTTTTATCGCCCGATCGGCCACGGATAGTGAGGATTCTGAAAAAAGAAGTCGGCCGATTCTCGTGCAACGTTAACGAGTGGTGACTCTCGGTGAACCCGTGAGATTAGGCGAGCACGTTTCTACCGCGTACGATCTTTCTCCTCCGTTAGTCCGTGCCCGTCGCAACTCGAGAACTACTTCGTAACTATATCTAACCCGTGTTGAATTAACGCGTGCTATCAAGACGGCGGAGACAGGGAGCCGGTTGTTTTACCGTAATTAACGACGGTGAAGGTTACGAAGATCCGGAGCACGTCCTTTTTTCACGCTCTCTATCTCGCTTGCCTACACACCGGAGAGAGATTCCTTCTTAAAAGGCACGATCAATTTTCCATGGGGGAATAGAGGTTAAAAGAAGCGGCAGGAAAGGAGCAACAAAGGAGGATAAACGTTGTTAACGGACACGTTTGCTCGGCTAGGCACATACACACACACACACACACACGGTAATCGGAGATCGAGGTGTGCGCATGTCGCTCGATCCGCGACCGATTCGATCCGAAGCGTGCGCGAGCAGAAAACCTTGTTCGACCGCATTGGTAAAATAATTCGATCTAATTGACGAAGGGAACCGCTTTAAGGTCACCTGGAATTGCTCTCTCGAATAACCCACGAGGATCTTTCTTCTCGTCTGTACTGGCTCGCGGGACTACGTTGAAAATCGTTCGGTGTCGTTGCTTGACGAAACCGGTTTCGTTCGGCTCGGCGAATCTCGGCGTTTATACAAAGGTCGTGTGTGCGCGCACCAGAGAGAGTGGTAGGAGTGAGATTTATGGAAAACGAATTTACACGAGGTCACACCCACGGGAGCGACTCTTTCTTTCTCGCTCTCTCTCTCCTCTCTCTCTTCCTCTCTCTCGCTCTCTTTCCGTTCTATTTTTTTTCTCTTTATCTGTCTCCCGCGCTGTTCGTCTATTTCTACGCGAAGCATATCGATAATAAAGGACGAAGTTGAGAACGCGACGCCGCGAGTCACGTCGTTGGATCGCGCGTCGGCCGAGAAGAGGTTACCCATTGGAAATTCGGCGGACCTTCCCTCCCTCCTTTACTCTCACTCTCACTCTCTCTCTCTCTCTCACACTCTCTCTCTCTCTCTCTCTCTCTCTCTCTCTCTCTCTTTATGCTAATAACGAGTGGAATCTTTCCTTTCCAAAGATATCGACGTATTCGGTGATAAGCTAGCTAACTATCGAATACCAAACGACACGTTTCTCCGCGGCTGATTGGCAATTAACAATGCGGTGATTGGACGGAGCCGGTTTCGAGCGACGACTAGAGAAGCCCCTCGAATGGAACAGAGAAAATCGAAGATCGCGTGTCGTCGTTGGCCGTGAGAAAAATAGAGAAATAAACGCGGATCAACGAAACGCGACCTACTCTACGCGCCTGTCCAACGAATCTCGAAATTACTCCTGCGTACGCTTTTCGGGGAAGGAAAAAGCAGGGAAGAAAGATAGAAGAAGAGCAAAGAAGAAAAGAAAAGAAGAAGAAAAAAGAGTGGGAAACGCGATTGGACGACGGGAAGGTTCGCGGCGACATGCGAGTGACCTTGCAACGCGACTTGACCGAAGCGATCACGTTTTTAACACGCGAGAGTGCGAGAGTGGCGAGAACGCACTGGCCGGAGGACAGAAAGCAGGAGAGGAGAAGTAAGTAGAATAAGTAGAATTAGTGGCGACTGGGGTATCGCGAGTGTGCGCCGCGTGTCCCGCAAGGCGGAACCGAGGGAACCTCGGCAGACGAGGCGAGAGACGACGACGATGACGGGTGGCGACTCGCGACGATCGAGGGAGGCTGAGGACTCGCCGGAAAGCAGCAACACGAACTTAACAGCCTCCGTGGAAGCGTTTAATAAAACCTAGTCGTGGCTGGAGCTTTAATGTTCGTGATCGGCCTCAGCGATGAAGCGGGCGTCGAGTGCATCCGCCGCAGCTGCTGCTGCGACCGCTGCCTCGCAGGTGCAACCTGCGGTCAGCTTACACGGCAGGATACACGATCTCTTTAGCCCGATAACGGCGGCGGGCTGCGCGGACAAGGAGGAATACGAGAAGCTCGCCGAAACGAAATCCAGGACAGACACGACCAAAGTATTGCCCAAGGGAAACCCGAACGATGACACTAAGGCTAAGTCCACGGCCATGTCGCGGCTCTTAGCCGTCGATTCTGACAATTACATGCTCCGCAAGGGCTCCAGCTCGGCCAATGGCGCCGTCGCCTCGACGTCCGCCGTCTCCGCGACGATCGTGCCGTCAGCGTCGATACCGAACGCCAGCAGCACCGCGTCGATAGCCCCGAATCTGCAGCTGCACCCTAGACAGATACCACCGGCGCGTAATTTTCACGCCAACCTGCTCGCCGTCACCAGCAATGGAACCTACAACGACCATCAAACCACCGTCTCGATCACCAACAACGCCACGAGTCCCGCAAGCTCGATGAAAACTCTGCCTGCCAATGAGCATCCTTTGCTACCCCCGGAACCGGTCAGACCTAAAGGCAGTATCGCGTTGTCCTTGCTCAAACGATACTCCAACTCTGTCAATCAGCAACAAATTCACACGGTCAATAACGTTGCTTCCTCCTCCTCATCTTTCTGCTCTGTCAACTCCGCCAACTGCGCGAATTTTCCCAACGCTCCGATCATTCGGAGGCAACAATTCTCCAAGTCATCGTGGGCCGCCCTTCTGGACCAGTTCCAATCGGATCTAGCGTTGAGAAACGCTCCAAGGGAATTGCTGGTAAACGCGGAGGAGTTCTCGCGTCTCTGGCCAAGTGGGCTTTTCCCATGCGCGAGAACGGTGTCGTTTCATCAGTATCTGTGCTCGTGCAACGATTTTCCTCGGCAACGGAACGCCGGCGATCCGTCGACGAACGGTAACGCTTACGATGTAGCGTCAGAGGAGGGCATCTATTCGAATTCAGTCGGTCACGAGGGCTTCGGTGGTGATAGCGGGCAGCGTGCCCTTGACAAGGGCATTGGAACCGGCCGCGAACCGGCTGATACGCGTAATCTATGCTGCTGCATGTGCGGTTCTCTATGTCCTCCAGAGTGCCATGCGTGCTTCCACGTGGTCTGCTCGGAGTACAGCGGGCAGCACCTCTGCCAATGGAGTAGCAAGGGTCACGCGCTACCGGGCCAGTTTCTCGACAAGGACAAGGTCAGTACAAAATCCTACCTTTCTTTTACTTTTTCAGCCGCGATTTTTACGTTTTCCTCCCTTTTCCTGCTTTTTTCGCGACCACGCGTCACTTTTTCTTCCCACTCGATCAACAACGGTTGAACCAACGTGTTGGCTCTTACGGCTGACGGAACGTCATCGTATGGGTTCAATCATTTTTTACACGTTTCGAGTGCTCGTCGGTTGAAAGAGAAAATCGAGGAACAACCCGAGGTATTTAATTCGAAACTATTTCGAAATTAATTTAATTCGACTTCTTCGATAGGTTTTCCAAGTATCGTTTTAATTCGAATTTTTGTCCTTTCTTTTGTTTTTGGAAAGGGGTGGGAGGAGATTCTGTTTACAGTCAAAGTTCAGGTTTACAGTGGCGACGGTTTCGCATGGTCCTCGACACGAGCAAGGTCACGCGGATGACTTAATCGTTGCCCGTGGTAGTTAAAATAGCACGGAGACGCTGCAAATGAACGACGATTAGGTGGCGAAATTAATGGAATGCCTTTGTTCGTGTCTGCCGGCACACGGCAGCAGAAACGCGACGATTTACAAGGAAAATTGTTTACCATGCTCCTGTTACTTGCCTTCAGAGGTGAACCAACTGGTTCCACCGTCTGAATTTATCTCCGTATCTCTGTTTAATTTGCATAAATCGCAGACACATACTCGCCAGCATTTCCGAGCATTGGAAGTCTGCTTCGAACGCACGTTTTTTCCCTCACCGGCCTCCTGTTTATTCAGAACATGACTTTGTACACAAACACTAGCCGGGCTTCGTTATCAGAGCGAAACCTAATCGAGATTCGATGGCGTAACGATCCGAATCGTAACACCGTCGTTGACGGTTCTGCGTAAAATTTCGAGCAACGAATCGAATCTTGGCCAGCGTTTTGCTCTCGCGGGATGCCTCGTCGTTCTTCTCCATTTTCTTTCTTTCGTATTTTATTTTTATCGCCATCTCCGCCATCGCTGGACTCGGCACCGGAATTTATCTGTAGCTTTTCGCGCGAACGTTCCAGATGTCTACGCACGATTAGACCTGATAAGATCTCCGCGGTTAATTGCCTAATAGTACACGCTGTCCGGCAATTTTTCTGCGTTCGCCGAATTCAAGTATACGCGGGAATTTCGAAGCGTTCGAATTAATACGCACTCGCAGTGAACGTTTCTGCGTACAGTCAGGATTTTGGCGTGGCAATCTTCGACCTAGAGCCAAAGTCAAGGAAAAGACGCGATCGTTCATCGGATGGTACACTCGTAAGCATCTGCCGCGAGGAACACGCCTGATTCTAATTACGTTTTCAGACTTTACGTCCGATCGACATTTCCCTCGGGCGCAACGAAACGAGCTTATCTCGACGCGTTTCCTCGCCATTTTCTCGCCATTTTCGCGTCATTTTCTGGCCATTTTCTCGACGCCGCGCGTCGCGAAGACGAAAATCGCTCGGCCACGATTTCTACGCGACGATGACGATGGAACACGGGCCGCGTGAATATTCGCAGGAGATCGGCTCGAGTCTCTTCTCGAGTGGGTGATACGCGGCGCTTATCTCCCTCGTGTCGTCACGATCGTAGACTTAAGGTTACGAGAGAAGGTTACGTTTTCTTTTCCCCTTGGTTTTTACGCTTTCGTTTTATCGGAGCATTCTCGATATTGCCCGCGTATGTACGCGAGCGAGCTCGTCCCGCGTCCTCCTTCTGTTGCGCCAGTGCTATCTAATCGGAGCCTCTGGTCGCGTGGTGAACGCTATCGCAGGCCACGTTCGCGTTCGCCAGCAGCATCCTCGTGGCCTGGGAACAGGTTCCAGGAACGAACGATATATCTCGATAACGTTTTCCATCGAAATTACTTGCTCCGATGGACGCGCAACCGCGGAAAGAGGCCGAAGGAGACGAGGTTCCTCGCGGTTCTCGATCCACGCGTCTGATCATAGGGTGGACGAATCTACTTGCGCCGTACCCGGGGGCGTTCGCCATCCTCGAACCACTTGCTCACACGGGTGAGCGTCCGACGCTTATGGAGAACGAGAAACGGCGTTTTAAGATTAATCCGCGTTACTACACGGCTCGAAAGCGTAATTCGTCGACGAAGGAAATCTTTACGACCGGATTCGAGCGATCGCGATCGACCGAGTCCAGCGACGGTCGGAATTTTCGAGTAGCTCGATTACGTCGATGCAAAAGAATTATCCGGCAGACGGGAGCTTCTCGTGCGTATTTTTTGAAATGTCAAAACGCGTCATTGAGAGTTATCGATGCGGAATTCGCGGCCAACGATTACCGGAACCTTACGTAATTCCGTTCGCGAGGAAGATGATTAATTATATCTGCGACATTCGTCGTGGACCTCGAGCCCGAGAATTTCGCACGCCATTTTCCTCCACCTCGTACACCTGAATCGGGCTCGCCCGAGTTCTCGGTTACGGAAGTACCCGTCTCATCTGTGACACCATTCTTCCAACAGCCCGTGAGCGAGTGGACGTCCCTAAACGTCGTCGAATGGATGGCTGCCCTAAATCTCTATCGCTATGCGGACGTTTTCAAGTCTAAGGATATCAAGGGGAGCGATCTTCCTTTCCTGGACCGGGATAAGCTGATGGTAAGTGGACTTTGAACCTGGTCCCCGGTGCTTTTCGCGTCCAGTGCGAAAACTCATCGGGTCTCTCGCGTGTATTTATGGCGAAAATTCGCTTGCTCGTGGATGGGTCGAACGGAAATATCGCGAAAACGTCGAGAGCCGATAAGCTCCTGGACGGGGAAGAAAGATAAAGGGGAGTAGTAGCCTGCCGCGAATTTTGTTCATTTTTTCCCTCGGGTTTTCTTGTTTCGAGTCAGGGAACCGTGTCGGGAACGGAATCGGCCACGGTGCGGGGATCGAAAATTCTTTGGCTAGTACTCAAAGGCGATGACCTCGACTCGAGAGTATCTGGACGACGTTTTCCTTGGCCCGTTGACCCTGTAATTGCCCTATAGCGTCTGCTCTACAGCACAGTCCGCTCTTTATCGTGTCCTCCTCTCCGCGTACTTCTTTCTCCTTCCTCCTTTTTTCTTAACCTTTCGTCGATTATCGAGAGTACTCGTCGAGTACTTTCTCGTTATCATCGAGCACTATCTCGCGATGTGGACGGAGCGCCGCATGCCGTTGCATTTTTACCTGTGTAACGCGGCCGCGCGCGCGCTATACCCATTTCGTCGTATAAAACAACGTTTCTCGAAGAGTCGGAGTTTTTTATTTCACGACAGAATGTCGTAACCTGTTCCTCGCTCGTCCAAGTGTCCGTCCTGTTAGGACTCGCTGCGAGTCCTGGCAAGGATCTGTTCGGAAATTTAGTCACGACGCGTCGCGACTCGGTCGTGTTCGAGCGAGAAGAATAAAAATACTCGTTTGGCCAAGGCTTCTTCGGGTGTAAATCGCGTATTACCATGCTAATCGACTCGTAAATCGTCTGGAAGTGTCCTTTCGGCGCGAGAAATCGGCCGATTCCCATTCGCTTCGTCCTTCGTGCCGATATTCGAATCTCGACCGAAGGAAAATGCAACTCGACGGGACTTTGGCCACCTTAGATCACCCTTAAACGGATTCCCTTGCCCGGTACGTTGCATCCGCGCGCCATCTTCTAGCTAATTAATTAAATTACACATCGATCCGGCAAACTGGATCCTTCCGCCTGGCCGGGAACGTTTTGTCCCGGCACGAACGTGTCCAAGATCCGGCTCGATTATCGAAAATATATTAAGGCCGTACTATCTTCGTAGCAACGACGACACCCGCGTCTTCCTTTCCAGACGACGGAGCGTAACAATTTAACGACCACCTCGCGCAATGCGCCGAGTATTTTCCGGCGGCGGCGCTGAATAAACTCCGAGGATTGATGCGTCGCGTATAATTAACACTCTCGACGCTGGGTGTCAGCTCGATAAATTACGCATTACTCCGTGCCCCTTATCTCGTTCGTTGATTCGAGCCAAACTCTCTCACTCTCTCTCTCTCTCTCTCCGCCTTCTTCTTTCTTTCTTTCTTTCCTCCTTTCTTTCTCTTTTTTTCCGCGCCGCGAGAGACCGGGCAAATTATTTTCCGTCCTACTCCGTCGCCGAGAGTCTTTCCTCGTCCGTACACCCCGAGATAACCTGGCACGTTGGCTGGACGCGAAACAAAATTACGCGTCAGATTTGACGGTCGCGCGAACTCGTGGACCTCGTAGACCTCGTAATCACCCGTTCCGTGTATATCACGCGTGCACATCGATCCTTCTCCGCTTGTGCCGCGCGCGCGGTGCTAAGAATAACGTTTGGCCCAGTGCAACTCGTGGCGCCGGGGAAAACACGTTCTCTCGCCGCCATATTTTAAAATAGCCCGCGCGAGCGTGCACTCGAATACCGTAATTTGGAAAAAATGCCTGCCGGAAATGGCGCCACGAGGCGCGCACCATGGGGATTCACCGTCTCTCGCTGCGAGACGAATCGTATTTTCGCCCTACGGAATTCCCCGTTGTACTTTTTACCATCCTTCCGTAACAACGTTTCACCCGTTACCGACGTTACGTAACGCGCGGTAGACTCGTTAGGGTAACGCGTTAGACGAGAGATCGAGTAAGAGTCGTATCTTCGTGGTACGCTAAATCCGTTCCAACTTTTATCCCTTGCGATCGAAGAGTGTATCAGCTTATTCGGTCCGCCAAAAGATGGTGCTAGCGCAAAGTTCGGGATGCGAGACAGGTGGACGATCGCGCGCGATTATCCGACGAGTCTTAGTTTACTTTTGTTCCGCGGTGTATCGTATGCAGGCCTGTGCGCATAGACGTTTATCGCGAGCTAGACGCGTACCTGACACCTGTTGACTCGGGAATCAACTACGCCGGGGAAACGAGATGTCAGTCGCGAAAGACGTTACGTATAAGTTCCGGTCGGTATGTCGCCCTCACCCTTTTACGAGTACGCGCCACCTAACGTCCCTCTTCGGATCGTTGCATCACCGCGGTGCCCGTAGGATGTCGCTGCGCGTTTGTTTTACGCGTCGAAAATCACGAATCGGTTCGGAGGTCGCGTCGGTCGTTTTTCTCGAAACGAGCGAGTACGACGCAGTCTCTCTCGGACCGGGGAAGAGACGAGAGGAAACGGTGTCACGGGACGCACGAGATGGCCGTTGATTTTTACATCTCCGTTTCCTCGCGTAAGGATCGTCGACTGGACTTTTACGCCAGCTATATTTCCGTTGTGTTACGAGCGCGCGAGGGCGCCCGAGTCGGTAACTGTACCTGGTCGTTAGCGAGCTCCTTTTTCGCGTGGCACGACCGCGCGCCGTGTCACAGCCCCCGTGAAATTAACGATATCGGTAGGTGATGTATTTACGAGGCGCGACGTAACGCGAAAGTGAACGTCGCATTCACGGTAGGTGGTTTCGGTTAGCGCCATGCTCCGGGTTACAGAGCCTCGATCTTCTTGTTCGCAGAATATGGGCATCAAGGATGACTTCCATCAGAAGACCATTCTGGCCTGCATCGAGGAGCTCTGTCATGCTCCGGCTGCGAGCGCCACGTTGTCGGAGGCGGCCACCATGGCCACGTCGAACGCGTCCTCCGGTGGCGTGGTCAGCGACGCGATGGCCGGTGGTAGCGGTTCCGCAGCCACCGGTAATTCGCCGCACACCCTCATGCCACAGAGCTTCAGCGTGATGGAGAAGTGCGATAAGTGCCATAAATACCTCAGGGGCCTCCTGCACCAAGGCTTTCTCTGTCTGGGTACGTGTGAAGCAGCGTACGTCGCGTGGTCGTTGCGGTATACGTCCATAACCTAATAATCCGCATCGAGATAACGTTTCTTATACTTTCTTCCATTTTTTCTTTTTTCTTTTTTTCTTTTTTTCTTTTTGTTTTTCTTTCGTCTCTCGAGACGAACGTTATCGCGCGTCACGTGCGATCGTCGACGAATCGATATCGATCGCGGGACTGTATTCGAGACGCCATCGAGACTGCGTCGAGACTGTGCGCGGACGAGGTGACGCGGGAAAATTGGCCGATTTAAACTTTCGTAACGCGGTCTAACCGTGTTTTGCTCTGTTTCCTTTACTACTTGTTATAATCGTGTTGTTTTCCTTGTGCGATAGATTGCGGTCTGGTAGCTCATAGGACGTGTACAGCGACGGGTTTACCCTCCAACTGCATGCCAGTCGACTCGGAAAATCGTGCCCATAGATTTACTCCAGGTAAGTGGTGTTGGGAGTTGCGCGCTTGCGCGCTGCGCCACAGGCACACGCGTACGCTCGCCTCGATGTTCAGTTTCGTAATGTGACATTGATATGGCACGGTCGTAACACGCCCATTACTTCTTCGTTACGTTAATGGACGGAACACGGAAACAATTTAAAAATTCAGATGTCTTTTAGTTGACTATCCCGGATTGCATCAGAAACGTGTTCGCTGACGCTGGAACTGCTTTGCAATCGCGCGCCAGAGTCGATTATGAAGTTTGTAGCAAGGACATACGATGTGGCGCATTACTTGTCGCTCTAATATCTGAATAACTAAATATTCATGCGTCTTTCGATTGAAATCGCTGCTGATCGGGCAGGGGGAGAGAAGAAAAATGTTATTTCATCGGTCGAGTCCGTTCCTCTCTCGCCTCTCCACGCTCTTTCATTTTGGCCACGAGCGAAGGAAGAGTCGCCGTTCGCTTTCCAACGCTTCGCTCCTAATGGGCTATGCCAGCCGATGAACGCGCGTGCGTACGCGCGTGTGCAGCGTTCGCGCGAAGGTAGACGGTTTTCCGAGAAATTCCGTGGCTACTCTCGGAATCGTCATCGAGCGTGGGCCGTCGACTATATGGTAGATAAAACCGAGCGACCGGTATCGCGCACCGGTATCGTCCTCCGAGGTGCTCACGCTCTCCTACCGTGGTTCGCGTGTGCGTCGCTCCTACGACCACGCGCACAGCGTTCGCAATGGCGGTAGTAGTAGTAGTAGTAGTAGTTTCATTAAGTTGTCGGTCGCGTCGCGCGTTGTCCACGCGATGAGACGCGTAACTGCTGTACACGGAGAGTGGCGGAGAATCGTGAACGGCGCCAATGGTCGGAGAGTTGCGGTGCGTTATTTATCAAATTCACCCGCGTAAAATGCCCCGCATAAAACCGGTCGTTTCGTTAGAAACTGCACTTGGGTCCGTTCGAAAGTTCGCGGTTCGATTTCACGGAGAGGAGAGATTCCAGCGAGAGAGGGAGAGCGAAGAGTGACGAGACATGGAAGAATGGCGGTGGATTGGGCCCGACAATAAAAGCATTTCCACGTACTCGTCGTAAAATTGGAACGTCCTCGTTTCGAATTCTATGGCATCGGTGGCGCGCGTTCGCCGGACCCTCGGCGACACGCTCGTCGTTCCCCGATATCGCTGCACTCCTTCGAGGACCCCGCGACCAGTCGGCCGATTGTTCGGGCCCGGTCGGACAACCGTGACGAATATCGAATTTCCGTATTGACCTCTATCCGACGACGCCGTTCTGGCGAACATCGCTTGGTCCCCGCGTACCTTTCCATTCTTCCACTCTTCTTTTCCGCCTCTCTCGCCTCGAGCCTGTCGAGCAGACACGCTGCTCGCGAGGTAACGAAATGTTGTTGTCGTGCTCGTAAAAATACGTTTCTTTCTCCTTCCCTCCTCTTCCCCACCAACGCGAAATTCTCTACGTCTGTCCTCCTCCTTCTTCTCCTTCTCTGCCTCATCCTCCTTCGCCTTCCTTTTCTCCTCCGCTCGCACTCCGCCCCCACTCCGTCTCTATTTCTTGCGCCCGTTCTTATAATGCATGCGTACACGCCTTTGATTGTACAAGTGGTGCATGCGATATCGACGATAAGTCCGCTTCGGGTCGCGCGGATGAGGAATAGGATAGAAGCGGTCAGGTTAGATCCATCGGCGACGGACTCCATCGAGAGTGGAAAGATTAGAACTGGCGAAAATGGCGGCCGGAGGACTCGGTGCCTGGCTATCGGCTTGTCCGAGCACGCGGAAGGTCGGTGGTCGGAATGCTTCGGGCAAAGCATGAACGGCATTACGTAATTCCAGAAGCGTGTGCTTCCCTTTCGACCTGCTTATTTTCGCACCGATCATTCCGACTGGAAGAAAAATGAATCGGAGTCACCGCTTCGCTGGCACCGCTTCGCTGGCACCCGCGTTCCACCGCCGCGCAGGTTCCCCCGGGTTCCACGCGATTTTACGCGTCTCTCGTATCTGGTCCCGCGTCTGGAATGCGTCTGTGAGATGTCAGGAATTTTTTCTTCCCATGGCGTATCCGTAAAAAACGACGAATCCCTCGCAGATGCCGGCGTTTCGCGTCTTCCTCGCCGAGCAAACGCTCCTCCGCTCGACCGGTGTGTCCGATTCCGCCGCGAGTCTGCCTCTCCCCGGCGAATGCTAATTTACAGAACCAATTAATTTTGTCTCGCGATTATTTCCCCGGTCGCTAGTGGGTCAACGACACCGCGCGGGCTACCTCTTCTTTCGCGTGCACCTGTTTGCACGCGCATTTTTCCTCTCGTTCTTCTCTTTGACACGCGTCTTACTCCCATTCGCACCACTTTCGTACCTTCGCTTCGTCTTCTCTTCGTCTTCTCTTCGTCTTTCCACCCGTTTTCCATCTCCTCGTCGTCGTCGTTCGTCAGTCGTCGACGTCGTTCACGTGCTCCGCGACGACGAGTCGTTCTGCTTCCACAGCTGTCGCCGCGTAGGCGTAGCTCCTTCACGATTCTCGCATCGTTTACAGCCGAGAAGATCACGCGACTGCTCGATTACTCGTAAACCGAAGGCGTTTATCGTATGCGAATGGAACAAACGAAGGTTTCGTTATCGGTCGCTCGTTGAGAACGAAATTCTCCAGGCGCAGCAGCAGCAGCAGCAGCAGCAGCAGCAGCGAGCAAGCCCTTAGACTCCGGGGTCGTGGTAATAAATGCAAGAACAGCGGAAGGTAGAGCCTCGTGGTTCTTTTTTTCCCCTCTTCCTCTTTTTTTTTCTCTCCCCTTTATTTCGACGTGGTCGCGGCACGATTTTACGATGCTAAAGCTCACCAGCGTAGAATCTTTCGAGTGCCCCGCCGTTGTTGCTATGCTCCACCGTTTGGCAAAGGACGAACTCGAGACGGTGAAAAGTAACCTCTTTTGTTCTCGTTACTGCAAACGATATCGGCTCTCTCGTTCGACACGGTCTAGAGCTGTGGAAATTTATCTCTTACAGTATTCGGTCTTGGCCTGTGCTCGCAATTCGATATCTCCTCGCGTTCAGCTCCGCTGTTGGTGGAAAGATGCACCAGTGCCTTGGAGGAGAAGGCATTCGAGGATAGCACGCTGGATCTGTACAAAGTCTACCACAGTAGCCCTCCCAACGAGCAAATCGTGGAATTGAGGCAAAAGTTGAACGAAGGTGAGCGTAAATTTATTTCTGACCTCGACGTGAATAATGTCGATGTCCGAGGAGCATAGATCACCAGTTGTCACGTTAATTATTTACTTTTCAGATGTATGTAACGCTGATTTAAGTTCGTATAGTGCTCAGTGTGTAGCGAGCGTGTTGAAAAAGTTTCTGCGAGAGTTGCCGGACCCTGTGATTCCTGTACAGTTTTACGACAGATTTATAGAAGCATCCAGTGAGTATAGTAAACGCGTATCGATTTGTCAAAGCGATACCGAGCTTTATTTAAATCCCTATGTTATATATTCCTTCCTCCGATCTCTAGATACGAAAAGCGACGAACAGTGTGCAGCACGCCTGGGACAGCTCATTTCGGAACTTCCGGAACATCACCGTAGTACCCTGTTTCACTTGATGGCTCATTTTTGTCGAATCTGTCAATTACAACACGGTAGAGGTTACACGGAACCTCCCACGATCCTTATACAAGTGCTGTGTCATATTTTCGTCAGGCCTCCTTGGGAGCGGATCGTGTGAGTATAATATCAGGTCCGATGCAATCTGTAATTCCTCTATCGTCGATTTTCAATCTTTGTTCCTATGACGATAGACAAATTGTTCACAATATCGAGGCCCATATACGAATAGTGGAGGTACTGTTGTTGCATGGCGATTGGAACGAGAGATTGCCGCAATTCGCGAGTCCTCCGCAGCTACCACCGCGAAAAGTTTCGAGGCCGCAGTTTCCAGTTTTAGATCCGTTCTCCGTTCTCGATGAGGATAGTTCTATGGACCGAACGGTGTCAGTCTCGGAGAGCAAGGAGTCTCAGCAACAACCCCACAGGTAAACGACCGTTTATTTTTACGCACCCTATACGATCCGTGTATTTCTGGTTACTATAGTCTGCTATATGTCGTTCCGAAAAGGCCACGCACGCTTCAGGAGGCCGAATGGTATTGGGGAGACATCACCAGGGACGATGTGAACGAGAAGATGATCGATTCGCCGGATGGAACCTTCTTGGTACGCGACGCGTCTTCGAAAGGCGGGGAGTATACACTGACATTGCGTAAAGGTGGGACCAACAAGCTTATCAAGATTTGTCAACGGAACGGGAAATACGGCTTCTCGGAACCGTATAACTTTCATTCGGTTATCGAACTGGTGGATCACTACAGGAATTGTTCTTTGGCACAGTATAATTCGACGCTCGATATTAAATTGTTGTATCCCGTATCTCGGTTTCAACAGGTAATTTTCGTCAGATTCCTCGACGCGTTTGTAATGAGTAATTTACGCTACACCGTGATTCTCGTTGTTTCCGTTAGGACGATGAAATTGCAAGTACAACGGATATGGCGAATGTTGCTCAGAAATATGTCGAACTTGACAAGGAGATAACCGTTGCGTTGAAAGAGTATAAGGAACTCACGGAACTGTACAATAGAACGTCTTTCGAGGTACAGCTGAAACGGCAGGCGTTAGAGGCTTTTTCGGAGGCTATCAAAATGTTCGAGGATCAAATGAAATTGCAAGAGAAATTTCATAAGGAAGCTCAACCGCATGAAATATCGACGTGAGTTTTTATCCATAAACGCGTTTAACGTAGTCCCAGATTGCAAGTACAAATTTCGTAATTACCTTTTTCGTAATTACCTACAGGCTAACCGATAATGCCGAGTTGTTGAAACAAAGACTGAAATCCTTAGAAGATAGCAGGGTACAATTGGATTGTAGCTTGAAGGAACAGATTGCTTATAACAGAACTCTTGAGAGAGAAATGCACAGATTGAAACCTGAACTCTTGCAACTCGTACGTCAAAGGGATAAGCACCTCATGTGCGTATATTAATTTCTCCAATTTTACATGTTCCTTTAGAATCACCAGTCTCCACCATACTTATACGTTTTTGCTTTACAGATGGTTGAAAAAGAACGGTATGAAACAAGATAAAATAAGCCAACTCATAATGAATCATTCGCTATCGAATCCTTTATTGGGCGATCTAACTTATGGAAATCTTCAAGAAGTAGATCTTGAAGTTCATTTCGACGAGACTACGTGGCTTTATCTCGAATGTTCTCGTTCCAATGCCGATCGAATTCTTGCCGATAAGCCAGATGGTACTTTCCTTATTCGAACATCGAGAACTGGGCAATATGCACTTTCCATCATGTACGTATATATGTCGGAATTTTGTAAATCCTTTTTAAATTTTTATTCGCCCAGACAGGGTAAACTAAGACGCGTGCAATTAATTTTTTTCTTCTCTGCTGCAGGTGTAATGGTACCGTGAATCACTGCATAATATACGGTACCGAACGTGGTTTTGGATTCGCTGAACCCTACAACATCCACGAGAGTTTGAAACATTTGGTGCTACATTACGCTCAGAATTCTTTAGAGGAACACAACGAGAGTCTCAACACGACTCTAGCTTATCCGGTTTTCGCCTCGCCCGCAGCGTTATCACAGTTACAGGCTCAACAGATGCAGTTGCACATGCAGAATCAATTACAGCTAACACGTCCTCTCGAAAATCAGCATTACATGACGCACACGTAATGTTCGTGTGCCGATCAGTGGAGTTACAAAGATATTAAGTGTGCGTAAAGTTTCTCGGTTATCACCGAGATTTGATCTATAGATCGACAATGCGATAACGGCGACAAATGATTTTTCAAGCAGAGTTCTGCGAAATTTCTATTCGTTTTAATCGATACGGTGGTACTGTCCGTAGAGAAACTACTAACACGCGAAAATTGATGGTTCCATTTTTATAGGCGGGGAAGTAAACGCTTCCTGAAACGAAGTACAGTGGTATTAATAACGAAGAGAGAGAAACATTGGTAGCGGTAGTAATCCTCAGAAGCTATAGTTTATAAGGTAATTATGTACGTATGTTACCGTGGCGCAGTAAATAATTGTTTCGGTCGACAAGACCAGTGATACATACACACGTACAATACACACAGACACAGACACACACACACCGCGTAGAATTTACAGTTACTCTTTTGGGATCAGCAGACCTTGTCGATAGGTCTTGTCGACGATCAGCATAAAAATTAACTTTGGCACGAGTGTGCGAGACCCTGAGAACGGAAATGATTTTTTTTTTTTTTTTATTATCAGTTTATTCTTTCGAGGTAGGAAGAATCGTTTGGGTGTCGGAAGGTGTTACGTTACTTATTCGATCGAATACGTCAGAGTAACAGAGGCATATATCTAGTCTTACAGGCAATTTGAAGAAACGAATACGGTAGAACAGAACGAAATATATAAGTCTGACTACGCTCAAACTACTCGCAGTTTCGATTGGTAATCAGGGTAGTTGCATTTCGTAAAAAAAATTTGATACTAATCTAACGACTAAGATCGATGGACGCATCCGTGCCCCTCGGGCTGAACGGATAAACACATTTCGTAGACCGCTGTACTTCTGACTTCTTCGATATTTTTTTTTTTTTTTGTGAATATTTCCCAAACTTCCGTTTTTGTAACGCGCGGCACACGATACGTGCGGGGGCTACGTTTACGTCGAACGCGACCGACGAGGCGTGAGATCTTCAATAGTGATATTAGAATATATAATTAGACGCATCGCAACATATACTTGAGCCTTTTGGATGCTTACGGAAAGTTTTTCGTAGTGATTTACAATAATGTTAAAGTAGCATTTAATACCCGTTGTACGATTCGACGACGACGATCAAAATGCTACTTCCGTTCGACCGTCGATCTAAACGTGCCCGCCGCGTTACATTCGAGCTTCATTACAACGAAAACAAAATTTACACGGATGCGCGGGAGCTTTTTTATATACGATAGATTTCAAGTGCTGTGCCAGATCTGTGTAGGCTACTGCGCGTGTTAAAGCACGTGTGCGTGTGCTGAGAGAGAAAGAGAGGGAGAGAGTGTGTGAAAGAGAGCGAGTGAGAGCGCGAAAGAGAGATAGGGAGAGAGGGAGATCATTTTTCGAGAAGTTAAACATATTGTCTGTGATTTCGGATTGCCGAGAAAGAAGATATATATATATATATACACATATATATACATACCATGTATATGTATATACATATATATACACATTATCGTGTCTATTATTTTCCAACCGCTTTTTACGATTCGCTTTTCTTCTACTAATAGCTTGTACTACTACTACTACTACTACTTCTACGCTACTACTATCTCCACTGCTGCTACTACTACTACTATCACTTCTACTGCGACTCTTACTACTTCTGCTGCTACTATTGCTACTTCTACTACTCCTCCTATACTTTTACTATCACTTCTACTACTGCTACTACTACTCCTATTCCTACTACTATTACCATTATTACTACTATTATTACTATTACTACTGCTACTTCTACTACTACTACAACTACTACTACTACTACTATTTGGTTTTTCTTTTAAGGTTTACGAAGCGTGTGATCGTTGGTTTAATAAGCGCGTCGATTACGACGAATATAGTAGAATTACCATGCGACCGTATGTGCAAAAGCTATTCGTGATTTTATTAATCGTAATTTTTCTCACGTTCATCAGTACTTTTTCTATGCGCCGCGTCAGTGTCTTACGCGTCTCGTCGCGTTCTCTTCTCTTTCGGCTCGATATTACTCCTTGACCCTGCGAGAGACTTGCCTAGGTACGATTTTGCTCGCATTCCAATGACACCGAATACTGGTAAAATTCGTACACGAGTTCGTTCTCGTAGTCGTAGTCGTAGAACAGTCGATCCTTTCTCGCTTTAAAGCTCACCGTGCTCTTTGAATGATCTCAAGTGGCGACGGGGGTCTCGTCGGTTGGGACGGAAACCGGAAGAATGGCGGCAGGGGGCACGGTCGCGATTGAGTCGGTACTCGAGAAATTTTACGCATTACATTGCGGTCTGTAATCGTAAAAGTGTATCGGGGACGATCCAAGCGAGCAATGGTTCCTCCACTTCCAGTGGTCATTCGGAGACGTCGATTTTCTTCCGGTTCCGGTCGCATCCCGCGATCCCCGTTGTCGTATAGTCAAAAGAAACTCAACCGTGTGCAAATCGATCGACGAACGAACGGGGAACCATCTCGAGCTCGAAAGAGTCGAAAGCCGCGACGAGTTTCTGATTTTTTTTTTTCGTGATTTTATTTTATTTTTCTTTTTTTTTTGTCTTCGTTCCTTCGCGCGACACACAGGATGACGAAAATTTCGAGGAATGGCGGGAAGCGTGGACAGAGACGCACGCGATAGAAGGGAGAAACAAAAGATTGTTGGAGAAGAGAAAGGCTCGTTGCTCATCCTAAAAAGGCTTCAAATTATGTAGATTTAGGTAGCTTAGGTTTTTTATACAAGGAAACAAATTAAGTGCCCTCACGCAGATAGGCTTATATAGATTCCGTGATCGTCCAATCGCGTGCAGGTGCATTATTCGATCGTTGTTTAATCGTATTGTCATCGGATCGCTCGTTTCCCGCATGCTTCGATCGTTCACTCGCCGAACGCTTGCTGCCGGAACTCGGTCGCGCCCTCTGCATCGCGACTACTCTCTTCGCGCGTCTGCTCGATTCTCGCGTCGCTTTTTCGTCCTTTGTCGTCGTTTCGCGTGACTCCGGGGAAAAAGAAAACAAAATAAAAAGGGTAAAAAAAAAAAAAACAGAGAAAAAGGAAAAACTTGGAGAAATATTTGTACGATCGATACGGAGGAGGAAGAGCCGCGCTAGAATCGACAGCGATATTAAACGCGTCGTTGGAATTTCGCACGAACGATTAACAAGAATTCAGATTAAAACGATCGAAAAGAAGCGATCGAGTCGTGGCGAATATTTAACGAGATCGGCGCAAACGGAAAGGAGGAGCGATTCGATGACGGGAGCGTGAGTTTTACGTGTTATAACCATCTGTAATGGCGACGAGTTCGAGATCCGCGCGAGCCGATCACCGGCAAAATCGAGTTTGTCGAATTCTCGTGGAAATCGAAGGATTCCTTCTCGAGCGAAACAATAAAGACACGTAAAGACATTTTTCGAGACCCAATGACCATTATCACGCTTTTTTCTACGCGGTTCTCGGGTTTTCAAGGGACACACAGTCCCGCTTCCTTTTCGAACGGGGGAACCCACAGAGTTGTGCCGCCCCGCGGGCTTCTCGCGACTCGTCCTCGTCGTCCTTTCTCAGGAGCAGGAGTAACGCGAAGCACACGAGTGAAACACGACCACGTACTCAACCGTCGTACATTATCAGACACACACAGACACATATATACATTACGTGCACACGAGGGTGCACGCTCGCGTGCGTGAGATACAAAACGGTTAGTCAGAGATTACAAAATTGAGAGGAGAAATACGAGATACATTGGTCGTTATATGACGTGGGAGTATGGCGAGAGAAAGAAGAGTGAAGGGAAGGAAAATGGAAGAAAATATATATGAACATATATATATATATATATATACATATATATTATATCGAACCATCGCGACGTAGCATTCGAAGGTATGCCAACCTCGACGATCGCGTTTTCCACGAGCGTTTTCCAAAAACCGCGCCGCGGAACGCGAGATCGTCAAGGCGCGTTCTCGAATATCGTCGACGAGAAACGGACGTGCACGCGTGCACACGCGCTCGAGAATTTCCTAGGGAACGATCACGACGGATGTTTGGCGTTAACGTTGAACCGTAGCCGTGACAGTCGACACCGTGTAACGAGCGCAACCGGACTCGGCGCCTATTTCTGTCACCGTGCTAAATCCGCTCTGGCATCGCGCGATCGGAACGCGAATCGCGTACGAAACGGTTGCGCAACGTCCACTGGAATCGTTTCAATTTTCGCGGGAAGAAGGCGGAAAGAGAACAAAAAAAGAAAAGAAAAGAAGAAAAAAAAGAAGGAAAAATATGGGAGAAAAAGGAAAAACGTGATCGACCGATTTCCCGACAGATCGTTCTTCTCTTTGTCGCGCGTGCACGCGTCCACGACGACATATTGGATCGCAGGCGGTTTAACTTTGAGCCTCCATTAACTGGAGGGGAAGAAGATCGGGCAAGAGCACAGAGAAGATGCTCGCGTGCAAGTGGAGCGAATTTCGGAGCGAAGCAAGTCCAACGAGTATTCCGACACGCGACTAAGTACGAGGGAAATCGATGAAAAGGAGGAAACGTCGAGTCATCGCGTTTTCCGCGCTCCGAGGGGGTTGTCAGCCGACAGGGGGTCGAGGAAGGGAACGAAAGAGGGCACGAACGAATCATTCCAAGCATCCCAATCGTTGGGCTCGATTCGCTCCGATGAATCTACGGACCCGTTCCATCGAACGGGCCCCGCGCTCACACACCAACACACACATACACACACACACGCGTATACACACAGGCGATCGATTCGAGTGAATTTTTTCGCGCGGACTCGACGATCGACCGCGAGACGTTGATCTCTCGCGGTACCCTTTTGTATTTTTGGAAAATGGGGCGTGAGTTCTCGTTTGAGATTTTATGGCATAATAAAAGAGAGTCGTGCAATACTGTTGCCCGGCGCAAAACACGTGTCACATCACGATCTATATGTATATATATATATCCGAGCTACGGTGGCGAGGCTCTTTTATAGAATGTAAGGAGACGAGAGAGAGAGAGAGATACGAGGAGAGGGGATGAAATTGGGAATTAACGTGGACTTCTCGGCGGGACCGGTCCAACGGATTTTTTTTCGCGAGTCGAAACATTGGCGAACAGAGTTTCGCCGGAGCATTTTCGCGACGGTCACCTCCGCGACACACGATCGGATCCGACCACGGGGCCCGATCCGCATTCTTTTTTACATTCGTGTCAGCGTGCCGACCGTCGGAGCTTTCTTTGGGCCTCGTCGAGTCGACGAGTCGATTTCTCCGCCGTGTACACGTACGGGGGGGACGAGCTTCGCGATGATGGCGGAGATATGAAGGTGTGTCCGGAGAAATCGAATCGACCGGACGAGACTCGGATTTTTCTTCGCGATTCGATGGGTGCTTGGTGGATCATAGCGAGATCGATGGCGAAGACGGGGCGGGAATCGTTGGATCATCGCGATCCAAGGATCGACGAACGGGGGGAATTCTAGGAGGTCTAGCAACGACCGTGTGTAGAGGAAGATTCGCGCGAGAGAGAGAGAGTGAGAGAGCGTGTAAAAGTTGCCTTAGCTTTTCTACGAGTCGAAAAGACGCGGAATGCGGGAGAGAGACCAGGAAAGAAAGAGAAATATGGGAGAAAGAGAGAGAGAGAGAGAGAGAAAGAGAGCGAGAATGCGTGGAGAAAGGTGATGGCGAGAAGATGGTGGAAGAAAGAGGAATTTCGTACGACGCGCGGATGGGCGATCGATGAATCGATGGATCGATGGATCGATGATCGATGCCCAGTGGTCGTTCCGCGACGGCGACGAAAGGGTGATACGAGACGACTGATCTAGTAGGATATTTCGGTATGCTGGACACGAAAGGAAGAGCCTTGCAAACAGACAAATTTTTCTGCGAAACATTGATAATCAAATGGTACGGATAAACAGCAGTTGTCGCAAACGAAGCCGCAATTTGTAATACGGAAACAGCGATTCTTGTAATAGTCCGCGTGCGCCGATTTTTTCGTGACACTTGGCAAAAGGGATCTCCGGAGAAAGCCGGGAGGAAAAGTTTCTCTGGCCGCTCGTGGACACACCTTTTTCTAATATTTGCAGCAATATGTATAAATATATATTACTTGGCGGTTTCGCTACGAGCAAAACTCTCAGGTTCCAGTTACTAACGAGAATATTTAAACTACCTAACGAACTATTGTACACAGAGAAACGAGTAATTTAAGCGTCACGATACGTCCTTTTATCGAGAAAGCGATGAAACATGGATACGATTCCTCTCTTTTGTCAATGCTAACGATTTAAGTAGAGACAACAAGCCAATAGAAAATAGAAACTAGAGGAAGTATGGGGGATCGCCGTAGACCAATATATTGTTACCCTAGGCATAACTAATTGTAAAATTGCAATTTCTCTCGACGTCTCTGTGCGCCGCGAGCGATCGGCACGCAGAAGAGACGATCGAGACACGGAGAACGAGAGAGAAAGAGAGAAAGCGCGTATGTCCGCGGTGAGAATGCGTTGCGAACGTTCGCGAGAGTGAAAGCGGGAGAAAGAGAGGGAGAGAATGTGGTAGAAAATTACGCGAACAGATCGCGTAACGATCT